AATTTTAATTATGTGCTTTACCTGATAATCGAAATTTAATTCCATAACTTCAGTTTCTTCATGAATGCTTATTTCAGATTTAGTTTTCTCTAGACATGAAAAGTCAATTCCGTGAGTGTTTAAAACTTGAGAAGACCATCTTATACCAAATAAGATAATACCCTACAGTTATCAGTATGTTAGTTCTATTAAATTTTGATTTTTTTAGTATAATTATTCAACTAGTGAAATATCAACTAACAAATCTTTACATCATATTATGCAAGATAAAATACCAACGGTTTTTAGTATGTTAATATGAACACTTTGGCATAGTGTAGCTTTGTGATGAACAAAAATGGACGTTGAGGATGCTAAGAATATTTTTTAAGTCTAAGCATGAAAACGACCATTTCTCTTCACATTAAAAATTCGCCATTTACACAGTTTCTTGTTGCACAAGTCAAGACCAAATTAGGCTGCTCTGGCAATATCTAACTTTACAAATTAATTTACGATGGTTGTACAGAAAATTATACACATATTACAATGTTGTGTTGTTGACATGTAAAATATAAAAAAACAAAAACTCACCCATGAATTTGAATTTCTATTAAACTACGTGGTACGTACTACTTTAGTTCTTTGAATCTGTTAAGTGCTATGACCGTGTCGTCTGCTAATAAACTCCAAAAGCATCTAAAATGAATAAGGTAGGATATAAATATATATAACATATTTATTATTTAAAACAAGCGCCAATGAAAACCTAACGCTGCATAACTAAAATTAGAGAAGTCACTATGGCACAGGCTATAGTATAAGACACATAAAATATGTATTGGCCTTTTGAGGTGACTTTAGCGTTATACTTTTATTAAGGCTTTTTTTTAATTATAAATGTTTTATTTCATCATATGTCTAATTTGGTGTTTTTAACGCAGTCCATTCTTTTGATGTAGATATTAATTAAACTGTTTAAATAATGTTTGTGTTTACATTCTGTACACCTATATATCTATCTATAGAAAAGAAATGTGACTACCATAGCTTCAAGAAGAAAGAACCTTTATAATAATAAAAGGGCGTGTCTCTGTGACCGCCATAGCTCCAAGAGAAAAAACCTAGAAACTTGAAATTTTGCACACGTACTAAGTGGACACAGAGGGTGTGCACCTGGGTATTATTATTTATCCACATGCGTGCGCGATAGCATTGTTTTAATGAGGTAAGCTAGCGAAATACCACATAGAAAAGAAGTGGTTCCTTGTACAACAACTTCTAATATATAGAAAAATCAAAGCGCTTCAACAATGGCTTATCTCGACTTTGGCAGAACATTGTAATTATGTTAGTCTGAGCGTAGAGATAAGGTTTTTATAAATTTGAAATAACTCAGTTTTGGTAGTTTGACTTTCTTGTTTCAATATTACTATAGCTAGCTAGGTTACGTATATATCGATCGCTACTTGTATTTACAAAATGTTTAAATTATTTATTATATTTGTTTGTTTCATTTTTATTAGCTATATTTCTGTGCACCAGCAATAACAAGCGTGGGGCGCGCGTACACACGATTCGATTTTATTACTCATCAGGATCTCTACCAACCCACCCTCAAATTTAATCATATGCCCAATATTATATACATATACTAGTATCCTTTTCGGTACCAAAAAAAAGGGGGAATCATTGGGACTAAGACGAAAAAGTTCTGTAAAAGAATTAGAGCGATAAGATTTGTCATTTTTTTCTGTACACTTGTCTGGAAAAGTCACTTACTTACTAAGATGAAAATTCGATGAAGTAGTGAATTTTTTATTCATTCAATAAATATATATAGCGATATAAGTGGCTTTATAAGTACAATAAGCTTTAGTTTTGCTCAGCTGGTACTGTGAAGTAGGTATTGTCAGTATTCACACTGTAGGTTTGTTTGTTTTATTGCGACAGCGGGGGTTGTCGTAACACTGCCCCTCCTTTAGTATTGTTCGTACCGAACAATAGCATCTTACATTAAACCAATAACAATAACTTAATCAAATGTACAGAATTACAAACACAAAATTACAATTCAACAAAGTCTCTTAATTTTACGGGATGTATGTTCTTCCGTACTGGTCTCTGTCTCGTTGGCTTCCGTTTCATATGGGCTAATCTGCTTCATCAGGAAATGTCCTATCGTCTGTAACAGTCACATCAGTGGTAGTAACTTTATCAAGAGCTTCACCGTTTCTCTTCTCAAAACTGAATAGAGTTTCTTCTTCAACAGTGGCTTTTTCAGGTGACACGTCTTCAGCAGCGTCATTGGTTCTGTTGTTCACTTCGTCCCAACTGAAATGTCCTGGACCATGATAACGCCAAAGCCTGTTGGCATGCACCACTTTTGGCTTACCTCGCCGCCCACATTTTATCCGGAAAGTCACGTCTGAGAGACGATCCACTATGTCATATGGGCCTTCCCATGGAGAAGACAACTTAGGAGATTTACTTTTGGTCTTCCTGGGATTATACAACCATACCTTGTCTCCTGGTACAAAGCTGATTTCAGTAGATCTCTTATCATAAGTTAACTTAATCGAATCAGAAGACGTTTTCAAGTTTGAACACACTTGATGGTGAATATCATCCATCCTTTCCGATAACACTTTCACAATCTCTGACACATTCTCAGGCACCTCTTCATAAGGTGGGCGTCCTGTTAACAGATCCACTGGCAACCGAAGTTCC